TGTGTGTGTGTGTGTGTGTGTGTGTGTGTGTGTGTGTTTAGAGGGGTGGGGGGGACAGTGCGAGGGTTTCAGTGTGATTAGATGCTGCCTTACTGCTTTCTGTTCCTGTGCCAGGCTGATGACCTGCTGTCGTGTCTCCAGAGTCTGCAGCAGAATGTGACAATCTCACCAGCCCCCAGCCCATTGCCCAGTATCATGGATTTAGGCAAAGCTGGATCCAACCCAGTCAATACTGAGCCTCAGGCCTTTGTGAACAACGTAAGTCATAGGAGAAACAAGGAACAGGTAACATAAAACAAAGAACTGAGGACACTGGAAATCTGAAACAAAAACAGAAAGTGCTGGAGAAGTTCAGCAGGTCTGGCAACACCTGTGGACAATGAAAGAGGGAGAGGGGGGCAGAGTTAACATTTTGAGTCCAGTGATGTCTCTTCAGAACTGGAGGCAGCTGAGAAATGGTGGCATTTATGGTGCTAACGGGGTGTTGAGAGGAGTTCGTGGAATACTTGGACAGAGTGCTGAGAGAGAGAGAGAGAAAGGACTGGCAAACAAAGGGATTGATGGTAAACCGAGAGGAAGATAAATGCTGAATGAGAGGCGTGTAGACAATTGAAAATGGGCTGGATGTGCTGGGAGTGGCCCGTACAGAACAGGAGCTCAGAGTGTGGAGGGAGAGGAATGAACATGAAGGAACAAGTGATTGTCAAGCTGTTCATTTCAGATTAAAGAAGCCGTCAGTGATTGCTGTGAGTTTGCTTGTAACGGGATGATTTGTCCTTTCTCATGGTATTCCATTGTAAATAAGCAACTGGATGTGGATATCATGGTATTGAAGAATCCAACAGACATTTGTTGTAGCGAACTATTCTGTACAAATATCACATTCCTCAGGCACATAAGTGTCTGGGTTAATGTTAAACTATAAGGTGAAATGCTTCTAAAAGAGTCTCATGCTTTAAGTGGTCCCAGGGTAAGATGGAGAATGAGACCTTTAAACCCTCGGTTTATTTGGTATGATGCTGTGATGATATCTTGAGCATGTTTCTTACAGGTACACTGATGTATGGACCACAAGATGCAACTTTAGATTGACTTCGAAGATATTGATTGTAGCCTCGTACAGCAGCCTGGGGCTTCCAAATCAGCTCTGGGCCAGGTGGAGGGAAGCAGGGAGGGGGTAAAAAAAAACCCCAGAGTTAGTCAATCTTCACACTTTGCCCTCATCTTTGCTCAGGATCCAGGGTTCGTGGTCCAAAGTCTGATCCAGGATCGCTCTGGCATCCAAGACATTTTCCAGCTCCTTTGCACATATGGATCTAATGTAACCAGAGGAAGGATCCAGGATTCGGAACGAGAAGCAGATCAGCTGAGGAAGTAAGAGACTGGGTTAATTCCATGGAATTGTGGAAAGGCCTGGAGACCTGGAATTCTCTCATGTTTTCTCGCTTACAGGCACACTGGTGTAAAGTGTTTTTTTTAAACTGCCTGTTCTTGCGAGGTGACTTTCCCGATTAGATTGGGATTCATGACTGATCTTCCTGATTCCTTTGGGATGATTGAGGTGGGTTTGTTTATCAACCAAGGGATCAGGCAACATGGAGGAGACCATTTCGCATACCATATCTCTTTCAACTCTTTGATCATCCCATTTTAGGAAGGCTAAAAGGGACCATGAAATGGTAAACAGGGTCAAGGAGAATCCCAAGGTTTTTTATGCATATATTAGAAGAAAGAGGGAAGCAAGGGAAATAGTAGGCCCACTCAAGGAAAAAGGAGGGAAGTTATGCGTGGAGCCACAGGAAGTGGGAGATCCTTAATGAGTACATTGTATCAGTATTCACAGAGGAGAAGGACATGACTGATGTTGAGGTCAGGGATGACCGTGTGAATACTCTGGAGAATGTCAATATATTGAAGGAGGAAGTTTTGGGTATCCTAAATTGTATTAAAATAGACAAGTCCCCAGGGCCAGATGGGATCTATCCCAGGTTATTTTGCGAGAGGCAAGGGAAGAAATAGCTGGGGCATTAGCAGATATCTTCACATCCCCCTTGACCACAGGCAAGGTTCCAGAGGACTGGAGATTAGTCAATGTTGTTCCCTTGTTTAAGAAAGGAAGCAGGGATAATCCAGGAAATTATAGACTGGTGGTGGAGAAGCTCTTGGAGAAGATATTGAGGGACAAGATATATACACATTTGGAAGAAAATGAACTAGTTAGTGACAGGCCATATGGTTTTGTCCGGGGAAGGTCATGTCTCACCGACCTGATCGAATTTTTTGAAGAGGTGACAAAGATAATTGATGAGGGAAGGGAATTTTCTGAAGAAGTGTCTAGGCCCGAAACATCAGTTTTCCTGCTCCTCTGATGCTGCTTGGCCTGCTGTGTTCATCCAGCTCTACACCTTGTTATCTCTGATGAGGGAAGGGCTGTGGATGTAGTTTATATGGACTTTACTAAGGTATTTGATAAAGTCCCACATGGCAGATTGGTACAAAAATTAAAATCATATGGGATTCAGGGTGGGCTGGCTAGAAGGATACAAAACTGGCTTGGTCATAGAAGACAGAGGGTAGCAGTGGAAGGGTGTTTTTCAGAATGGAGACCAGTCATAGGTCCTCTGTTGTTTGTAGTATAGATAAATGATCTGGAGGAAAATGTGGGTGGTTGGATTAGCAAGTTTGCAGATGACACGAAGGTTGGTGGAGTTGCTGATAGTGCCAACGATTGTGAAAGGGTACAACAGGACACAGATAGATTGGTGACTTGGGCACA